AACTCCCAGAATTCCCCAGCCAGCGAATGCTGGCTGGGGAATTCTGGGAGTTGAAGTCCGGACATCTTCAAGTTGCCAAGGTTGAGAAACACTGGACTGGAAGACCTCCAAGGTTCCGCCCAACTCTGTTATTCTATATTCTATATGTATATCTCATGTAATTGAACTGAATCTCTTTTTAGGTATGTTCGATCAAGGACGAAGCATGATGTGGACATGAGGATCGGCATTCACTCCGGATCCGTGCTATGTGGAGTTCTGGGTCTGCGGAAGTGGCAATTTGATGTCTGGTCATGGGATGTAGACATTGCGAACAAACTTGAGTCAGGTGGAATACCTGGGTAAGTGAAATTTGTTCAAATGACGCCATTACGTTCTAGATTTCGAGTCTTACTTTTACAGCAGGAATCATGAAGTTTGGGCTTTCCCCAATAAAGACTCCTGATTCTCTTAGACCTCTTGGTTATAAGCATTGTTTTCTTGGATTTGCTCATCATTCTGATGAGGAAGGATTTTTCTCAATCAAGCTTTATGCCAACAGGGGTCAACAGCAGGAGTCTCCACACTTACAACTTTAAGACTTGTGGACTTCAACTCCCAGGAATTGGGGAACAGCTGAGGAATTCTGGGAGTTGAAGTCCACAAGTCTTAAAGTTGCCAACTTTGGAGAACCTTGATCTACATGGATGGGCTACTGGTGAAATTATGTGACTCATTCTGCAAACATCTAAATTCAGGTCCATTCTCAGCCCTAGAAACTCAATGGGTGACTTGGAGGGAAGTCTTGATGTGTCATTGAGCCCATATCACAAACTTCTAGTTGCAGAAACATGGGCATCTTATGTACATGGCTTGAACCTCCTGAGGTCTAGCCTCTTCATAGCTTCCCTTCTTGAACTTACTGTAGTTCTTGACTTATGACTGTAGGAGATTTTCCATTATGGTTGTAGGCTGTGATTGTTCTGATTTTACAACCTGTTTTTGTGGTGTTAAATGAATGCCACGCTCACTAAGTAAACCCACTGAGTGGTGCGGTGGCCTAAAGGTGGAGCTCTCGCCTCACAATCAGGAGGCTAAGAGTTCAATCCTAGGTAGAGGCAGATGTTTCTCTCTCTGGGCACGATGAGAATATATCTGCTGAACAAAACTCCGCATTGGCGACTGGAAGGGCAACTGGCCAGTAAACACTCAGTTCCATTCAGTTGCCCAGACTCCGCCCAGCAAGGGATTATGGAGTCATTAAAAGAAGATAATTAAGTAAACCCATTGTTTGCTGTGAGGCATATTTACCACAACCACCAGTAAACCCAATTTCTGGTCAGTTAATAATGTACATTATGATCATGTGACTGTGGAACACTAAGAATGGCCATAAATGGGGGCCAGTTACCAAGTGCTTGAAATGTGATCACCTGTCCTGGGGGACAGCCCTCAGAATTTCAAAATCGGGTACAGGTAATCTTTGACTTACAACCAATTGTTTAGTGATGGTTCGAAGTTACCCAGCACTGGAAAAAAGTGACTTATGACCATTTTTGCACATTTATGCCCATTGCAGCATCCCCATGGTCATGTGATCAAAATTGAGCACTGGCAAATGGCATGTATTTATAGCAATAGATTTATATACCGCTTCACAGGGCTTTACGGGTCTCCCTAAGCAGTTTACAAAGTCAGCCTGTTGCCCTCAACAATCTGGGTCCTCATTTTACCCACCTCAGAAGGATAGAAGGCTGAGTCAACCTTGAGCTAGTCAGGATCGAACTGCTGGCACTGAATTGAATTAGCCTGCAATGCTGCCTTCTAACCACTGTGCCACCACAGCTCTTATTTATTATTTATGATGGTGGCGCTGTCCCTGGGTGACGTGATCACCATTTGCAACCTTCTCAGCTGGCTTCCAACAAGCAAAGCCAATGGGGGAACCCAGATTCACTTAACGACCACAGGATTTGCTTAATAATTACAGTGAGTCACTTAGCAACTATGGTTAAAAAAAGGTCATAAAATGAAGCACAACTCACTTAACATGCAGAAATTTCGGTCTTACGTCAAAAGCTATCTGTAGTAAGTATCTTCTGGAAGAGTCGGTGGCAACCTCAAATGGTTGCTAAGCAAGTATTTGTAAGTCAAGAACTACTTGAAATGGCTTTGTGTGTGTGTGTAAATATATGTATTTACATATAAATATAAATATATAGACATACACACATACATATACATACATATCTATACATACCGGCATATATACATATACACGTATGCACAAAAACATATATACATATATACATGTCACCAGTGGTGGGTTTCAAAAATTTTTAGAACCTCTTCTGTAGGTGTGGCCTGCTTTATGGGAGTCGCTTGCCAGTAATGTGACCAAGTGGGAGTGGCTTGGCAGTCATGTGACTGAGTGGGCGTGGCCAACTTGTAAAATGTGGTGAAACTCACTTAACAACGTTCTTGCTTAGCAACCAAAATGTTGGCTCAGAAACTCTGGTATTTGAAGCACGCAAGTCTTAAAGCTGTCAAGTTTGAACACTCCAGGGGTTTTTTTCCTAAAGAATTAGGGGTGCGAGGGTCTTGTAACTGGACAGCTTTAAGACTTGCGTGCTTCAAATGCCAGAGTTTCTGAGCCAACATTTTGGTTGCTAAGCAAGAACGTTGTTAAGTGAGTTTCACCACATTTTACAGGTTGGCCACGCCCACCCAGTCACATGGCTGATAAGCCACTCCCATTCAGTCACATGGCTGA